CTAAGTTGTCCTTGTGGTCTTAAAACCATTATTAGGAAGCTACATACATCAAAAAGGAAAAACAAAACAACTAAAAATCAAATTATAATCATCCCCAAACTAAAACTAAAAAAAAAACACATCTAACACACATTACTTACTGAACACCACTTGTTAACTAACTATTAACATTTAACATTACCTTTTCTGTAATAGCATAGCATCCTTTACAGATGCATAAAAGTAATAGAAGTTGACTATAAATTTAACATTTTAGTATAAAATTGAGCAAAAATTGTTGATTGATCTTACCTTGTAATTGTCCTTGACATCATTAGCTGAAAAGTCTATCTTCAATCCAATGTCTTCATCAATTTTATCAGATGTCTAAAAATAGGAACTCAAAAATTATATCATTAAAATGACTGGTTTAAACTTTAAATAGTTTTCTAATTCATTAAAAATGAGAAAAAAAAAAGTAAACACTAAACAATACCTTCTTAGAAGATTGATCCCTTTCAGTCATAAGTTTCTTCAGTTTTTCTTGATCATTGCTCTGCACAATAAAACACCAAAAAATACAGCAAAAACAGTTGACAAAATTGTGATTCTGATTATACGTGAAGAAAAAAAATGTTAATCAAAAGAAAATGAAACTGGGCCCCACCTTGAGTTGTGAAAATCCTTCGATTAGTTCTGCTGACAACAAGTTTACATCAAGAGGGAAGAAACAGTCTGAGTGATACGATTTGGTGTTTTCATACCCTCGTGGGTCCCAAATACTCGATCCTAATCTTAAAGATTTTGAATCGATTTTTTCAGAGCATTTTTTACATGAAGATCTTCCTGACTTTGCATACTCTGCAACAATCTTGATACAAGTGGAGGAAGAAGGCATAAGGGTATCTTTGTAATTTGGTTATAGTCCATCTTAGTAGCATAACAGTATACCTTTTCATTTGTTGCATTCTTTTTTTCTTTCACTCTTTCCTCATCTTTGTCAGTCTATAAATACATAGCAGAATTACATGAATACAATCAGTTCCTTCAAGATGTGAAAATGTGAAAAACATATCATAAAAGTGAAAAACATATTCATGGTAACTTGTAAAAACTCCTATTTGAAGTAACTTTTACCTATAAATAGGCTAATGAGTTGAGTTGAGTTGAGTTCCTGCTTATGAGTTACATCGAATGCCATGTGTTTAAAATGATGATGTGGCATCCACATGTCATTCTTTAAAAAGGGAACATATTTCAGCCAAATTTTTATATATAGTGTAATTGTTTTGACCCAAGAAAAGATAACTTACTTGTATGTTTACCTTCCTAATTCCTATGCAAAATTTCAAATTTATTCAAATCACTATATTTTACTTTGTTATTATGTATGAAAATGGACAGAAATTATGTAATTGATATGACTATTAACATCCAAGTATCTCACTGATAAATCTTTTTGAAGATGCATGTAACTGAAAAAAAGTAAAAAACCATATGATAATCAATACAAGGTCACATAAATTCTTTTTATTTTTATGATCTATAAGACATAGCAGCCGTATGTGACAGATAGATGCAACAATGAAGTCAAAATTATATTATTAAAATGTTGTGCTTTAAATAATCTGTTGAAAATAAAACAAAAAGCTAGAAATTTGGGTAAACAATACTGAGTTTATTTCTTAATTATATAAATATACCATTGTTCGATTATTGATTTAAAATTTTTAATACCTTTCCACTCTTTTGATCCTACCCCTGCAGCTCAGCTTCAACATCTTCATCTAACTGTCACAATAAAATAAAATAAATAAATAATAATCACTCATAAACCAAAACAACCCAATATCACAAAATAACTTAAATTAAACAATTAATCTAATTATCATCTAATTTGACTTAAAATCAATTTCTTGCAAGATAAGTTACCCAATTAATACAAATAATCAAACTTTAATCAAATAAGGAAGTTATTATCTAATCAATTGGTAATTATCTTTTGTTTAATCAAGGATACACTCAAAATATGATTAAAATTCGAATTTTAATGACCCATAACAGTTAAGGCAAGTATCTTTGAGTAAAACAGCAAGAAATCCCGAAACTGCCTCTTTCTGACGCTCGAACTCGCCGAGTTCCTCTATGGACTCGCCGAGTAGAAGCCAAGTCGCCGAGTCCACATTGGAACTCGCCGATTCAGCAGTCAGAAGGCCAAAATTTCGATTTTGCAACAAGAATGAACATGTAAGGCATCAATACAATAGAAACCAATCAAGTCTCTGATACCACTGATGGGTTTTGGCCATAAGAACATCCTATGTGCTCATGCAACCCTAATGCTTGGATCTAGGTTTCTCTATTGTACATGCAATTCATCCAAGACTTTAAACCCTAAATCTAGCATATGATAATCAATATTAACATAATAATGGGTTTAAGATATTACCTTGATTGTTATGTAGCAATAACAATCTCAAATCCGCCTTGTAATGACTTTAGAAAGCTTAGAGTCACAAGCGTCACTCCTCTAATGGCTCACAAACACCAAGAGTAAGAGGATGACGAATAAGGAGAGGGGAGGCTCCAAAAAACGTGTAGAAACCCTAAGGATTCAGTTGCCCACGTTTTTGGTGCCCAAGGGGTCCTTAAATAGTGAGGCTATTAGGGTTATCTAACAAGGAAACCCTAATTTGGATGCTTAGGCCCTAAGCAACCCATGGACTCCTTTCTTAAAGGCCTTTGGACAGTTTCTAATGGGTTTTCCCCATAGAATTCGTCCAACCTTATATTATAAGGTAATCCATAGCCCAATTGCAATTATCTTATAATTACAATTCCAGTCCCCTAAGTTTAATTAATCTCTTTTAGCCACAAAATTAATTATCAATTAATTCTTGACTAATATTAATTAAACAATATGATTTTTCCTTTAATATATATTATTCTCATAATATATTAATAAATCATAATTAATCATCTCTCTCCATAATTCATCCTATCAAGTTGCTTTGGTGAAGGCAACCCAAAAGGACCATGCACCATCGGGTCAAGTATATACCAAAATAGTTATGGACTTAGACACTAATCCAACAATACCTTGGTAGAAGTTGGATCCTCTTCACTCACTATCTGCTTCAACTTATCTTGATCACTGCCCTGAATGGTAGAAGCAAGAATATTCAGCTCAAAACCATACAAAACATAATGAGCTTGCACTTTGTCGGATAATGGAAGTTTATATCTGATAGTGTGGAAAAGACATTGCTCGTAAACACGAATGCTTTTCGTTTTATACATCAAAAAATTTGGGGGAGTAATAGAAAGCCAAACGAAGCATACGACCACCAATGTATGTCTCACTCTCTAAAAGGCACCCATTATGAAAGTTTTCTGCTTCAGATTTGTGCTTGTTTGGACATACCTCGAGCTGAGAGAAATATGTGAAAGCATTTGTAGAATTCCTTGCAACAATGTGATGAGTTGTAGAAGTCATCCGAACAGCAGCAGGATCATTGGGTGCAGGTGGGATAGGAGACCTAATTTTCCCGGAAGCAACTGGTGGAGGAGCAAGGCCTAGAGGCTTAGACTTAACCTTCTCGGGTGGAGGAGCAAGGTTGAGTGGCTTAATCTTTTCAGATAATCCTGCAGATGAAAGCATCCCAGCTCCACTTGCAGGTTTGTTTTTTACAGTGATTCGAATTGTTTCACCCTCCTAATATACGTAATGTTTCAAGTTAATACATGTCTAATGAGCTCAAATCCATTTCAATACTTCTAGGCATTAGATAATTTCAGCTACTAATCTGAAATTTTCGACTATATAATCTTATATGCATAGTCGGAAAACTGTAAGTGATGATACATACCTTCAATCTATGATTTACAGCAGGATGGATATTGATATGACTCTAGTCGCTGGCTTCATCGACATCCTTCTCAATCTCTCTCTTCACATACTTCTCATGATCCGACAACGCCACATTGAAATCAAACGCCTCGTTCCTCTCTGTAAACCCTAACCCAATAAACGCGTGTTTCCCTGTGCCATCCTCGATTTTCAAAGCCGGAGAGATCTTCGAGAATAAGAACTAAAAGCTCCAAACCCGGATCAAATTTACTTGTTGTTCCCCCAAATCGTTGATCGTGGTTGATCGTGGTGGCGGGATAGGGTTAGGGCTACTTGTGTGTGACGGAAAAGGTGGACTTCCAGGGCGTCGATTACATCTTTGGTGGAGACAGGTGGTGGTGCGCTGCTTGTGTGTGATGTTGTCGGAGTCAGGGAAGAACACACACCTAACGTCGTGAGGGTGAAGAGATAAACCGGATGAGAATTGGTTTGATGGCGGCATTTGTGTGTTTAGGAGATTAGGGCAAGGTAATACAATGTAATAAGTATACGATGTGGTTATATGCTTAATATTATTGTACATGAGGTAATACCTATTGTACCTCTTAATTTTCAAGAAATGGTCAATATTTTTAATTATATATATATATATATATATATATATATATATATATATATATATATATATATATATATATATATATATATATATCCTCCTTAATAAATGAAGGGTTTTTTTTTTTTTTGCCGCATGTCCTCTTCTCCTTCATTTGGACATGGCATTTTCTAGAATTTTTGAATTTTCTATTTTTCACTTGTTATTTTATTGTAATTTTCATTTTATTAAATTAAAATTCCACATTTAATATGTAAGGTAATATATATGTAATGTATTTATTAGAAAGGATTTATATATGTAATGTATTAAAGTCTCATTAATTTTAATAATTTAAATTTTTTCTCATTTTTCTTATAAATTCAAACTTCTCAAATTGTTTCCAAGAATTTATCTTTTTTTCTATTTTCAAAAATATGTACGATTTTACTTTAATTATAGTTTGATTTGAGTAAGAATATGTACTATTTTAATTTCCAAATATATCAATTGTATGTTTAGGGCATCTCCAATCCACCCCCAAACTCCATTTCTTCCGCTATTCTTCTCCAACCCTATCTCATTTTCACTTCCATTTTTGGAGATATGAATAGTATTCCCCCAATATATGGGGGAATATTATTCATATCTCCAAAAACGGAGGTGAAGTTTGGTTGACATATTTAGTCCCTTTCATTTTTATTTTATATATTTTTAGTTTATTTTATCTATTAATTATAATTTAAATGCAATATTTAATATTTATAATATCAAGTTATATATTAATTTATATTAATTAATCATAAATATAGAGTTTAATTAGTAGAAGGGTATATTTGACAATATATATAAGTTATAAAAATAGAATATTCAAGGAATATATTTTTTGAGGTAAAAAATGAGATAGAAAATAAAATAGGATTGAAGATGAAACACTATTTACTCCATTTATGGGGAAAAAATAGAGATGGTCTTACAAAAGATTAAGCTAATACAATAAAAACTAACAATATAAAATAACGATTACAAAAATAAAATAGGTAATTTAAACCTTCTTTATAATAGTGTTTAAACCGAAATATAGATTATAAGATATAACAAACAGAGATCATTACCGTTCAGAAAATTTTATAATAATTCTTCAGCGACATTGATAAGGCATACAAATTATATTCAGGTATTTAAAAGAATTTTTATTGTTTTAGAGCTAATTTTAACTCTCTATTGGTCCTTTTTTTCTCATAATCTATCGATATTTTTGGGATTAATATCCGTCGTTACTCTAAACCAATAACAAATTAACATCGACCGATCCATGATGATCCCCACTTCCCACCAATCTAGAGCTTCCCATCGCTTCTTTTTTCTTCTACATCCCCTCAACCCCATCTCCTTCCACCGTTCCTTCAAAGAGTCGATGTTTTGTTCGGGGTCTCCAACACCGCCCTTTCTCTTTGCGAACGACACCCACCTGCATCGCCGACCTCTGCTAGCTTCATCGCCGTCGCCGCCGCCTTCGGGAGATGACGCCACAGAAATAGCCAACTCTATTATCGAAAAAATAAAGAAAGGGGTGACGATTTGGGACCGGATATCTAGCGGATTTGGAAAGAGCAGCTGTGAAAAGAAGAAAAAACATCTTCTAGGGTTTTTTCGAATTCTTAAGGGGCAGGGACTTGCTTTTTATTTCCCTTTTGTGCAAAAGAGATAAATACCCTCTTGTCTGTGCAAGACATAAATGCCCTTGATATTGCGTTTTCTCATGCATTACAATAATAGGACAAAAATTGCAACTCAAAAAGAGACAAATCACTCATGGGCAAAAGGCGTAAATGCCCTTAATCTTAGTCATCATAAAAAATAGCACTGGAATGGGACCGAAAGTCCGAAACCGATATCAATGGGACAAAAATTGCAATTGTTTGAAGCTCTCGTTTGTGAAAAAGACGTAAATGTCCCCCGGATAAAATAGAAAACTAACAGGGTCACTGAGAAGATGCCTCTGAATCACGGGTCTGTCTACTATGATTCTTGAAGATGGTAAAATGACAGGATCTTTCATCAGAGTGTACTGCAGATTCCAACATTTATATTTGTGTCAGTAAAACGGTATTTTCTTGTTTATAAATAGAAAAATATGTAAAAGGACAAACACGTTACAAAAACCACAAATAAGGACAAAAAATGAAAGAGAATACTTATTGGGACCAAAATCACAAAAACCAACTATATTCAGGGACCAAACATGTAATTTACTCTAAAAAAATTATAAGTCAACGACTAAATTGACAAGATAATGAATCTACATTGTGTGTGATTTTTTTTTTTTTTTTTTTGTATTTGTGGTGTTTTTAGATGGTAAAAATGGTATAATGGGTAAATTGAGAAAATGACGAAAATGCCCCTATATATATTTTGAAAGATAGAGAGAAGTGAAAAGACAGACATTTTCTTGAGAGTGGTAAAGTCTAGTTCTCTTGTGCTGATTTTTGTTCCCATTCAGTTGTGTTAGCCATTTCAGCTTCAAGCTCTTTAAGCTCAAGAATCTTGTTCAGACTTTCATCAAGAAGAAAGATGCTATCGTTGATTAAAAAGTTCAAGTAAACACCCTTTTCCTCTTCTTTCGCAATCTGTAACATTTTCAAAAAGAGTTAATAACTAGTTGATTAAAAATTAAAATAATAATAATAATAATAATAATAATAAAAAGTTACCTGTTTCCAAGCATTTTGTTGAACAGGGACTTGCCAAAGGTATTCTAGAAGTTTAGCAATGTTATGGCGGATGTTAAACTTGTCATAAAACTGCATAACAGTGAAGAAATAGCAATGTACTTTTACTGAATTGTTTATTATAGAATCCAAATTTCATTTCTTCTCATTACAGCATTGTGCTTTTTACTACTATGGCATTGTATTTTGAGTATCTATGTGATTATAGCAATGTACTTTTAATTTCTTTTCTTATTAAATACATGATATTTAGATTTTTTTTTTTTAAAAGTTGCTTTGTATTTGGATGACATTGCTAAAATTACAATTCTTTCGCTTCTTCTAATTGCATCAATGTACTTTTAACTTTTTTATTAGAACGGCATTGTACTTTGGAATATCTAAAAAAAACTATAGCATTGTACTTGCAAATTTTTTTAATAAAAACATGAGGTTTCAAAATATCTACTAAATTATAAATATATGTAAAATAATAATAAAAGAAAAAACGAAAAATCGGATGCTAGAATAAACAAACCAATAGAAGTACATTGCTATTTCTTAAATATGGGAAACAATCACTCACCTGAGTGTGGGATCCTGTGAACTCGACATCAACATAGAGTTTCAAAAGATTCTTCACAAGATACTGAACAGAGAGTAGGTGCCACTCAAAAAGTGTACTAGTAGCAGACGATGAGCCACTGCACACACACACAACACGGAAAAAGACGTAAATACCCTTTGTAAGCAAATAACATAAAATTATAGAATCAATCAATCAAAATAAATAAATAAATAAATACCTCCTACGAGGCATCCAACAATTCAAGACTTCAACCATTTTGGCTCTTAGATAAGGATTCCTAATGTACTCTGGACTTGCCATGAACATGATAATAAAGTTCATAAAATCATCCTGCCAAAGAAAAAAAAACGAAAGTGAGACTAGAGAAAATAATTAGTTAAAAAGAATCTTTTTGTTTTTACCAATTTGACACCATCTAAAGCATGTGGGATTCTAGAAGCAAAAATAAGCAACTCCATAACATCTTCCACAAAGTGTTCAGGCATACATGCGAATTCCATGGGCAAAGATCGTGGTAAAGGCATTTTGAAACCACCAATTCGACTTACTAACCAAACCACCATTAACTGATAGAAAGATAATGCCAGTTGAAGTAGTCCTCCATCCTAACAATAACATACAAAAAAAGGATTTGAAAAAACTGAAACTCGAATATTAAAAAAGGAAAAGACTAATTTACCCTCAGTATCTGAGCTTCATAACATAATTTATCCTGTGTTCACGTTTCGATTTCCTTCTCAATTCGAGCAATTTCCTGTGTCACTCGAGGTGAAGGAGTTTGCTCTTGCATGGTTTTCAAGGTTGCTAAACTATCTTCACGTCTTTGAATATCCTGCAACCAAATAAAGCATCGTATTTTCTTTTCTTATTAGGAAGGACATTGTACTTTGAATCATGGGATTAAGGAAATAAATACCTGGACAAGATCCTTGAAGTCTGAAAAAGCTTTCAGAAGACCCAAATTTAGAACCCGAGCAGTCATAAAGAAACATTCACAAATAAATGAATAGGTTTGACTTGGTTGACCAGAACTTGTTGTTTCTTGAGATTGAAGCAACCTGTTTTCTTCATTGTTTGGCTTGGCTTGTTTTTGTTTAACCATTCAGTAACTTCCTCCAAAGATGCATGAAGAGCAGTTAGTTCTCTGTATTCAGTTGAGAATCATGATCAAATTCATATTGAGGGATTGTAGTTTCAATCTTCTCTTATTTAGAAAAAGATACATCTATAGTAGATAAGAGTATCTTACTTGAAATCCAAACGAGAACCATAAAACACATATTTAGGGTCAATTTTGTCTTTCTTTGTTGAATTTGCATCCAAGAAAGGTTCACACAATCGAAGCATAACAGCACTAAGGTTCACAAACATGCCTGAACTTGCAGAAGACATAGGATCAACCTATCACCAATCACAAATTATCCAATATTAATAAAATTTTCACCTGGATAGATAAATTATGCCTTTATGGTCTAAAAAGTTTGTTCTTACCTGGATATGAGCCCTTGATGCATTTTTGTTGATCACTTCTGCAATATATTGGAGCACATTCTCTCACGTGTTTGTGTTCTTTAAAAGAGACCTAAGAATTTCTGCCAATCCATCGTATAAATTGTTCATGACAGATTTGATTGTTGCAAATGAAGATAAAAGGTCAGCAGGGCGTCTTGTTGATGAGTCCATAAAACACTGCTCGCTGCATATTCCATGGATATGAAAGTTAAACAAAAATGATCTAACAGAACAGATGGAAACTTGAAAAGGTAAGTCACATAATAGCCATGGAAATAGAAAATCAAGATCAAACTCACCCAACATCAGGCTGACTCTTGTAAAAACTTTGATCAGGAAGAGCACTGATATGAAAAAAAAGGACCCAAGATGCTTGTCATCTCAATAGCACGACCATTTATGAAAAAACCTTTGGGAATCCACCATTGATGATTCACCAAAGCTTTAGCACCAACTGGAAAACTTATCAAGTACATCAAAGCCCTCAATGGCTGCTGAAAGTTTCCAAGAGCAGAACATTTGAGTACAGTCCCTCTTAAATCCTCATACAATTGCTTCAAGATCGTTTCCATGGAATCGTAATCGGAATCCCTAAACAACTCATCCAAAAAACCAGGAGGAGAAGAGGCACCACCACTACTACCACCACCAAAAGTATCAATTGAACTAGAAACTTCAGAGAAAATCAAAGGCAACAATGGAGAAACATTCGATTTATCTCTTTGGGAATCGGCGAACATATCGGGTTACCTAAGTGAATTCTACAATATTTCGCTTGATTTACAACTAACTCCATCTGAGCCCTAACTGATTTATCTTTCATATTAGTGATTTTCTTCCCTTCATATGCGCGACGATCAACAAGAACTCGTTCCATCACATCCCTAGAAAATCTCAGTTCACCGCCTTCGCTTAAAATCTCAGCTGCCGTCATCTCCAAGTAAACAGCTCGTGTATCGTTCCCCATTGAATCTATTTGAGTTACAAGGAAGATTTTGCTTAGGATTATGTCCTCGATTTCCTCAGGCGCTCGCAGCGGTTTTGCGGTGGTCGTCGCCATAGTCTCAGAATTGATTTGATTTGATTGAAGACGGTGAAAATGGGCAGGTTTGATTATTTTGAATGGGTAAAGAAGAAGGATCAACAAAAAGTTTCAAAGAATTTTGTTTCTCCATAGTCAACAAGCCAATGGAGGCTTGTATGTATCTATAGACTTGATGTATACATATACATATAATAATTATAGATAATATACATACATATACATAAATAACATAATAACATATAACATAATAGATAATATATTTTATATTTTTTTTAATTGCCGATCCATTAAAAGCTAGAAAGAGGCTAGAACAAAAATACAAGACAATGAGCAAACATTACATGAAACAAGCAACAATGAGAGATACACAATCATGTCAAATTGTCGATAAACATAACTTAAACTAGGTCTATGTTTAATCCAGTTGAAAGAAGTTAGTTGAATATCATCCACCACCTTAATTATTGAACACCAAATCATTTCAGGTTTCCAAAAAAATCAAATCACCGTATATAAAAGAGTTAAGATGAGGTTCCTTCTATTTTTATCATGGAAAAAGCTTTCAAAATACTAAGAAGGTCCTCATTTTGAACCAACCAAGAAAACAACAACGACACCAAACCAAGAACCAATCCCATAAATGAATTGAGAAAGAATAGTTGAAAAAAATATGATCTACCTCCTTCTCTTAGTTGTTACAAAAAGGACAAGAATAAGAACCAAATGTGATCCCTCTCAACCACAAATTGGAAGCAATCGACACCAACCCAAGAATCAATCCCATAAATGAACTGAGAAAAAATAGTTGAAAAAATGTTATCTACCTCCTTCTCCGAGTTGTTACAAAAAGGACAATAATAAAAACCAAACGTGATCCCTCTCAACCACAAATTGGAAGCAACCAGAATCCTGTCAAGAAGAAACTTCTAAACAAAACAAATAACTTATATAGAATCCCACTTCATCCATATAAAACCACCAAGAATTCTATCACGATCTAGTTTATCTGTCATCAAACTTCTCAAGAAACTAACAGAAAATACCACTTGACATACCTTTCCAGCACCATGAATTCGGAATATTGGGCAACTCTACATCATCAAACAAACTCATTAAATTGTTCAGCTCAGATTCTTCCATACCTTTTTTTCATAGAGTAAATTACACCAATGGTCCCTATGATATAGGATAATTTGTACGTTTGGTCCCTAATTTATTTTTTTAACTCAGAAGGTCCCTACTATTTGTTTTTGTTACACGTTTGGTCCCTACTGTTTGCTTTTGTTACGTGTTTGGTCTCTGTCTTACCTAAAAATACTATTATTTAAATAGGAAAAATGGTGGGATAGATAAGATAAGGTAAGAGAGATGGGGTTGTAGGTGTGTTTATTTAAATAAATTAAAAATCAAGGGATATATAGTCTTTTTAGGTAAGACGGGGACCAAACGCGTAACAAAAACAAATAGTAGGGACCTTCCGAGTTAAAAAAATAAGTTAGGGATCAAGCACGCAAATTACCTTAAACCATAAGGACCATTCGTGTAATTTACTTTTTTCATATTTCTCTTCCACTACCCCTAAAAACCAGTCCGAATACCACCATAAATTATGTCCAACACCAGACAGGTTTTGTTACTGTTCAGCTTGTAAAATCTAGGAAATGATTGTTTGAGAGTATAATCTTCATGTCACTTATCTTTCCAAAAAAAAGAGTATGATTTCCTGCACCCATCTTTCTAAAAAACAAATTATCAAGAGAAAATTTTCACTCAGTAAGTTCTCTATTTATTTAAAAAATGGACAACCAAGTGTCTGAAATACCCTTTTTAGCCAAAGGCATTCCATTAATCAATTTAAAGTTGTGCAAATACTCAATACAAAAATACCAAAACGATTCTAGTTCAACTTTCAGCATCCACCGCCATTTTGCAAGAACCGCTACATTCAAAGTTCTAAGACTACCAACACCGAGACCTCCTTTGTGTTTAGGTAAAGTCACCAAGTCCCAAGAAACCCAATAAATTTTTCTTTGATTATTTAAACCACCCCAAAGAAACCTCCTTCGAATTCCTTCCAACAAATCAATATTTTTCCTCACGGCTTTGAAAAAGAGCAAAGTAATAAAGAGGAAGACTCCCCAAAACTGATTTTACCAATTTTAATCTACCCCCCAAAAGAGAGATTACGAGCTTTCCAAATAGAAAGCTTCGATCTAAATTTCTCCAAAATCAGCTCCCAATTCCTAGCAAGTTTCATATTCACACCGATAAGTGAAAGGAATACTTGTCAGCTCACAATGTAAAATATTAGCAAGACAACTTACATCAACATCCTCCACCCCAATGCCAAAAAACCTTTCTTTTAAAGAGGTTTAACTTTTAAACCGGAAGCAAGAAAGAAGCACCTAAGAATTCTGTTTAAGTTTACTTCAAACCATTCACCAATAAACATGGCATCATCCATACACATTAGATGTGAAAGATGAGAACCATTATGAGGTAAGGATATACCTTGAAAAAAGTGATGATCACAATCATCTTTTAAGGAAACACTAAAACCCTCCATAGTTAAGATAAAGAGAAATGGGGAGAGAGGATCTCCTTGCCTCACTCCCCTCTTGATGTCAAACTCTTTTGATGGAGATCTGTTAATTAAAATTGAGGCCCTCCTGAAAGAAAGACAAAGAGGTAGTCTCATTTGTTAAACGCAATATTTTGAACAGGTTCGGGATCCCTGCTGAAATCATATGCGACAATGGATCCCAATTCATAAGCAAGAGGACAAGAGACTTTTGCACGAGTTAGGGAATCAAAATGATAATGTCCACTCTTTTTCATCCCCAAACTAATGGTCAAACAGAATCTAACAACAAGATCATAGTAAAGGATGGGTACGGCTGTGTGTGTGGTATTTTGGGGAACTCACTAAGCTTTGTGCTTATGATTTGTGGTTTAAAAGTTTTAGGTTTTCTTATAATAAAGGAAGGGAACGGCTTGATTGCACCACATCAATGGGGACTTGTGTACATGAAAACTTTTAAGTGATACTCTGATAACTGTTTTAAGATATTGTAGTTGTGATTTGAATAAACACTTAAAGTTTTAATTGAAAATTTTGGGTTGAAATTTAGGACGTTACAACATGGGCCGGGATTGTTTAAAGCTACTCAAATTTAGGGATGGGGATCAGATCCTTTAACTGCTATTCAATACACTACTTCCTCAAGACCCAAAAATGCAAGTTTGGCCATATGTGTAAATTCAATCACCCAAAAGATAAATCTGCTCTTTTGGTAAGTTTCAATGTTTCACTACACTATGTCGTGTGACTTTGATTTCAATTTATGTTGACATAGAAAGTAAACAAGATTTGTCCATATGGCCAGGCTGTGTTTGTGAAACATTTTTATTCAATGCCAACATTGATCTTGAAGCTGATATTTTTCTTATTTTCTTTTATTTCAACGTTTGTTGCTTCTCACAACCTGATTTACCCGTCTATTTCAATCAAACCAGGGACTTTGGGACATTTATCTAACATTTTGCAAAAATCTAGAGGTTTCAATTCAAAAGAATCTACAGAGAAGAGGAATCTTTTTTTATGAGGAATATAACATAGTAAAACAAACTTTGGTTGATAACTCTATGAGTTTGCATCAAGAGATTAACTGAATTTGCAAAACTGATATTCCTAGTGATGTTGTTGTTCATTGGGATGTATGCAAGGATGAGAGTAAATAATGAGAAATTCCAACTGGACCGTATCCAGATAAAACATCAATATTTAAGAACAAGGCTTTTTAAAATCAAAATGATGTTTGAATATTTTTGGTGGATAAATACTTTTTCCAAATATTTAATTTCTCATGTTGAAATTATGAGATTGTGCTAGATGATGGACCATTTGGATGTTGCGTGGTATTTTTTGTCAAGTTTTGACTTTCTAATTATATTTTCACTTTTCAAAATGTGCATTAAACATAATGTTTGTTTTCATTAACCGAACCATGTATTTATCTAATTTATTGGTTTGGCTTTCTTTAATGTCCAAAATATCCTTGGGGAATATGAAAGTAAATTAATCAAGTTTTATTTTAGGTTTGGTATAATCTAATGTATTTCCAGGCTAGACATGAGCCTGTAAGTTCTTTTAAATGTTTATGAAATGGTTGTTTTAATAGAAACATACAACCCAAAACGGCACCGAGGGTAAAAAGGTCAATGTTTGCTACAAGGCTTGAAAGCACCATCAAGGTGATGAGAATTCTATCCACTCAAATATCTAAACAACATCGCCACAGGAGAGATAGACCCTCGAAGGGTAAAAAGGTCAATTCATAGACCAAATTAAAAAGATTAGCAAATTAATTAACATCCAAATGCATTCTCAATTGCAGCACCATGAACAAGTGAAGGCACCAAGGAGTAGAAGACATGTAGCCACAGGAGACGCACTGAGACCCATAAACCAGCACCAAGGGTAAAATGGTCAGACTTGGCACATAAAAGGTGCAAAAAAGTGATCTACTCAACAAAGTAGGAACCAATTGTTTACAAGTTTTTGATGTTCCAAGTTATTATGTAAATATGCTCTTGAATATGATAATGATTAATTTGGTGATGTGTTTTTAGATTGGGAGACCTGCTTTTGATCAATTTCTTAAGAAGCACATAGTTGCTTATAAGTTTGATTCGATTGATAAGTATATGTTCCTTGATTTCTTGAAAGTGATTTTCCCTGGAATTGAGAAACAAATTGATTTAAAAATATGTATATGTTTTTTAATGCTATGGAGTCGATTTCTAATATTTGTAAAAAGGTAGTTTCATTAGCACATAAATTTAAGCAAGGTAGGATGCCAAGTGACGAATCATTTCTTTTACTAATTATTTTATGTGAAATATGATACATTTTTCGGAAACTATTATTGGCTGTCATAATTCTCAAATTTTCTTTGTTTTATATTGTTATTCTTTTTGTACCATCACTTCTTATTACCAACACCAACAAATCAAAACATAAACGTTTTGAAAAAACAGAAAACCAACAAAAAAAAAAAATATGACCCGTGGTGAAAAACCATGGGATCACACACAAGTTTGAAGTATTTAATTGGTACCAACATAAATGAGAAAAAAAAAAAAAATCGTTGTCCACTTTTATCCCCGATCATGATATTTTGATAATTTAATTATTTACAATGATATTTTGATTATTTAGATGACCTTACTTTTTTTATTATTATTTTTTTTTAATCTATGGCATTATCATTTATTGTTCTATATCAATACTTACAAGTATTTATGCTTAGACCATCAAGCTTAGCATCATAGTTGCTAGCTTTTCTTTTATAAAATATCTATGTACAAGCATGAAGAGATTTTGTGTTTCCTTTTTGGGTTAAATACAAAAAACTCCATTGCATTTACATGAATTTATTGAAAAAGCCATAATGTTAATAAAGTTTTTTTTGTGAACAAACCATTGCATACTTTTTGACCGTTTATAAATAAATTTTTTTTGCCTTTTTCTACGTTTACTTTGTTTGCCGAGTTAAATTATTGAAGCCAATGAGGGGTGATTTCTTGGGGGACGTTTCCATTATTGTTTTGGCACATTAATAATTCCCGAAGGATTTGTATACATTATATAATATATATAGAGGATCCAAACGTTGAAAAAGGTGTTTTTTTAATAACTTTATGCAATGCAACATGATATATATTCATCTAAATTAATGAATAAAACCTAAAATTCTTAAAAACATTTATTAAACAGTAAAAAGAAAATATGTTTTTATAGATTCAGTCAAGCATTTCATCGAACATACACCAGACAATTTTCAATCGATTACGTAACACAAGATTTAATATCTAAAACAAAACACAATGATATCAAGATAGAGAGAATCTCACATTTTTACAGCATTTTCAAAGCACACTACTTACTCAAACATTACGACGCCGTTTTCGAGTGTAAACAAGAAGGGGTCTGGGGGCGTCTTCGGCCGGATTTTCAGCGTCAGGGTTTCCGGCGTTTCCGGCGTCAGGGTTTCCGGCCGGAGGGTCGTTGGCTGGGAGGTTGTCTTCAGGTAGGTTTTGGTCTTCCGGTGGGGGGTTGCCGATGGGCTGTTCGTTGGCTGGAAGATTATCGACGGGAGGTTCATTTAAATCCGGTATCTGCAGTTCTTGTCGTCCGCGGCGATCTTCTGGATCGCTAGTGCCAGCCTTAACATCGGGTGCGCTAACTGACTCAAACCATTGTTCTAACGTTGAAAAGGGTAGAGGAATCCCTGCAAACCATTGAATCCAGTATCAAGAAACAAGTTTAAATGTGAAATTTTCCGGGATTTGAGAGATTTCTAACCTTGAGTGTTGTTCTGTTGGGCAATGTGCCCCGATAACAACCGGACCAAGAAATCTAACACCAATCGTAGTAGACTTGAACAAAACAAATGTCAAAATATTTCTATATAAAAATATATAGATATAAAACAAGTTAGTGAATTGAAGTTCTTACAGGGCGTGCTGTGCGTCTGAAAGAGCCATTGCGATCTAGTGTCCTAACATCGCGTCGGAATTAACAAACAAATCAAAAATCAAATTCAAAAAATCAAAATATGAAAGTGATTCGACGGATTCAAAGAATTGTTATTAACATCTTCAAGAACATCAAAGAAACATCGAATTCATACCCAAATTGAAACAGCATGAATAACCAAACCAAGAAATCCCGAATAGTGCCTGAATCAATAAGCACAAGAAGCGGGGAAGATTACTTGAAGAAGGCGATGGAACTGAATTATGAAGATTGTTGTATGTTGTATGTTGTAACAGAGACAGAGGTCGTTAGTATTTATTGAGAAGGTTCGTCTCTAAGTAATTCAAATAGAAAGCGGCAAAAGTTTGATATTGTCCACGTGGACTTTGCAATTCGGTAAATTAGTTATATTTGTGTACTTTTTATGTAGAACTAAAGGGTGTGCTTTGGATTGGGAAATTTTCGTTTTTTTTGTGGGTTGATTCATATTATATATATTTTTTTCTAAAAATATTTATATTTATTAAAGAAAAATAAGGATCTCTCTCTCTCTCTCTCTCTCTCTCTAAACCAAGGACATCTTCATAAGTCTCCATCCCCATGATGTTTTCTAATCAACAACACCAAATTAGAAGACCCATCGTTCATACAGTTTGCTCTGAAGCGCAAAAACACAATATACTCCACCTCTCCTTCCTCTGTTCTTGTTCTAAAACATGCAACTCAAACCGCCATCACCATTGGAGAGTGTTGCTTCAAACCTGCAACTAGATCGGAAAACCTACCATTCAATCAATTTGGAAAATCCTCCAATCTAAAACCCTTAAATCATAGAAAAACCACGAAAAAACTATAAATCGAGCGTATAATACGGGCAAATCGATGACATCATGGCGACATCGATTCAGACTTTTTTCGTTTTGAGAGTAAGGGGAGAATTAAGTGGATATGAGGTGTGGGAGGTGGGTGTTGCCTTTGATTTTGGTTTCAGAGAGAGGCATATTAAAGAGGTAAAATTGATTCCTTTGTCTTTTTTTGCTCTGATTCATCGCCATCATGGCAACATCGATTCAGATGGGCCACATGATGACGATCATTGTTGGAAGTCGTAGGTTTGATTTCTTGGATTTTTATGGTTTCGTTTTTGGGATTATCATCATGTTTCGTTTTTGGGATTTTCATTAGGTGTCCAGAACTTTAAGTAATTGATTTCAATAAGCTGAAAAAAAGAGATGCTAAAAATGAAAACAGAGATTGTATTTCTTGTGTAATAAAAGATCGACTGTATATTGAATGTCTTTGTTTTCTTGGCTAAATCAACAATACTTTATTTTTGCAAGGGTAAAAAAAGCTAGAATTAAGGAGCATATACATCATGAACCATGGATCGAAAGTGGGGAGATTTATGGTGTTGCAGATTTTGGTGCTTGTGTTTATACGAGGGGGGGGGGGAGATAGAGAGAGAGAGAGAGAGATGTCCCTATTTTTCTTTAATAAATATAAATATTTTTAGAAAATAATGGAAATAAATATAATAAGGGCAATTTAGTTATTTCAGTTTTGGGAGGGACCAAATCCACGTACAAACTAAGTAAAAAAGACCATGAAGCCAAAAAAATCGAGGATTTAACTAAACATCATGAAACATGCATACCATAGGGACCATATTTGCAATTTTGTCTATTTATTTCTGGGTTGGTTTTTAACACATGCATAACGGACTAAAGTTGACAAAATATAGAAATTGTGGTGGTCAAATGTTGAAAAAGGGTAAAAGTAATGTTCATAAGGGTTATTCTAATTAATATAGAGAAGGGACCAAAATTGCTAAGTTATAGAAAGTATTGTGGCTTAATCTAATTAATATTAGAGAAGGTACTAAAATTGCCAAGTTATAGAGAAGGGACCAAAATTGCCATGTTGTAGAAAGTATTGTGGCGAAATGACTTTGTATAAGAGAAGAGACCAAAATTACCAAATTGTAACAAAAAAGTATAAGGATCGTTACTGTATATTGCCAAAGATGGATGATTTATGAATAAAATAAAAAAGCATAGAGGTTAGTAGTGTAAATTGCCAAATGTTACCATGTTGGTGATTTGTTATCATCAATGTTATTTAAGTGTAATGAGATTACTTTTTTGATCAAAAGTGATCTTGATAAATATTAAACTAGTAAAGAAGGTGTGAAGTATACACTTGTTTAAGTTTGATCAAGTAAAGAACGCGAAGCCCTTGAACGAACGGGGATCCGAGGATAGCGCCCCTGGGAGCGGGGTCCAAGGGGCAGAGGTCTGGTTTTCATAGAGAATCGACCCATTTTGACTTTTATTCAAATACCTGTTTTTATGACCGGTTTTGGTGGTTTGTGACAGTTTGAAACTATCATATGACAATTTTCAAACAGAGATCTTAAAGTCTGTTTTGGTCCCATTTTATGGTACATATGAAAAAATAATATGATCACTAAGTCATCAAAATTTGAGGAGGCAAAAACATTATTGAGATGAAATGAAGAAATGCCAACCATGCTCTTTAGTAAGATGGAATAAACTATGAGTGACAAGAGGTCAGTTCAAGAAGAATACATTGTAATAATACTTGTAAACATGAAGAACACAACCTAGTCATCTATAATGCCACCACCTTCTATATTTCCAATCTACCAGAACGATGCACCAGTGCAAGTGTATTGAAAAGATTCTAATAATTTTTGTTTATTGGTGGATGCATACAATGCCAAGAAGAAATATATATTTGGTGACAACTCCTCCTTCATTAGATTTATAGAAGTTAGAGATTCCAAATAAATGGAGGGACAAATCAATAAATCCAAGCTTGGTGATGTCAATATTTCGACCAATATCGCAAAAGTTTGATAGGAATCAAAGATCCATAAATGTACTGTCAACTAGAAATCTCACAATGACTTCGATAATGGAAGGACAACCAAGAAAACATGGATCTATTATACATAACTATAACACTGGTATTTGATTATGCATGGACATTTTTAAAGGCTGCCTCCCTCAACCCCAATCTGCACTTCGTAAAAAATGGTTAGATTACCTATTCAAACATACCATGCCTTAAGGCCCGGAGGAAATGATCCCTTGTCGGCGAAGTCCACACCATGAAACTGATGAGTTTTGTACAAACAATCCTATGTGTGCATGCAACCCTAGAATTGGATCTATGTTTTCACTATTAGATACACAACATTATGAACACATAATGAAACCCTAATGTGGTCTACTATTTTCGAAATTCACCAAGAAGGATAGATCACATACCTCTTGTTGTTATATTGCAACAACAACTTAAATCTTCAAACCCTAAGTCTTGAAAGCAAGCACCACAAGTGTAGTGCCTCTAATGGCTCACAAACACCATGAGCAATTGGAGAGGTTATAGAGAGAGAAGGAAGGAGGTAGAAATCGGCCCTAAGAGCCCTTTAGGAAGCATGGACGAATTCTTATGGCAAAGGGGTGTTTATATAGGTGTGAAGATTGGGGTTTCAGTCCTTATCCTTATCTAGTTGCTTGCCACCAAGTAACAATAAGATAAGCCTTGAATGCCCTTATCTTTGGAGGATTTCAAGGATCCTTATCCTCTTGATTTCGTCCAACCCATATCTAGGATAATTCTTACCCTACTTTGTAACTATCACATAATTACAATACAGCCCCTCTAATTTAATTAATTACACTTGATCACAAAATTAATTCTTAATTAATTATTGACCAATATTAATTAAACAAATATGATTTCTCCTTTAATATATTATTCTTATAACATATTAATAAATCATAATAACCTCTTTTTCTATTATTTCTCCAGTCAAGTTGCTTTGGTGAAGGCAACCCAAAAGGACCATGCACAATCGGGTCAAGTACTTACCAAATATGGTTACGGGCTTAGACACTAATCCAGCAGTCTCTCACTTGGATAAGTCTAGTAACCACAAATGTAAGTACAACTCGATTAGCAATCGTAGCTCTTAAAGACGCTGTTGAACTCTGATCTTATCAGTAACCTGTCCTTTAGATAAGGGATCATATATTCCTCCATTCTAAATATCGTATAGGCGTGAGACATGGATTGAAATCATTCTCTCAGTCTATGTGTTGTTTCTCGATTTTCGATTTACGACGAATGACTAATTGAACAAATCAAATTAGCCCTAGCCCGGCCGAGCATTTACGTTTGTCATCACTAAATCATCGAGGGGCCCACAGATATCGCTTTTATCCCACTTTGGGTAAAAGGAACGGATAAATTTCGACTCAATGCTTGCTTGCACTCACTCACCAAATCACACACAACAATAAGTTTTATAACACCAAGTTACTGGTGTGTTTACATATTATCAATGTATAACCGATTCGCAAGATACAACTCACACATCTCGGTTTCAAGAATACAAGATATTATCGTCTCACCAATCGCTCGTGATAAAATCCATGAAGCGATCCAAGTGAGCGTGGGTTTAATCCAATGCTCAAAATCATATTCATAAGCACTCATGAACGTTGCAGCAAACCTTTGCTATGTCTAATACACTTTAGACAATCTACAAACCAATTCATGACAGTCTTCATTCATACCTATTTCCAACATATGAACGACTGTGGACCATTCGAATAATTTGATTAATATAAAATAATTAATTATTCAGGAAGTCAAAACATGCAAAGTGAAAAAACAAGAATAATACTAATCTTATATGGTCCTAAACCTTTGAGTATAAATAAAACATCTTTTATTTATCACCATATTGATTACTCATTATCCATTGTTTAATGTTTCGACTTTATAACTCGAATCATACCCACAATTGTCCCATGGTCCAAGCATGCACACTTTGGTTTCCTATGGTCCATACTTTGTGAAATAGATCAATTGAATCTTTTCAAATACAACTCATTTCACAATCCCCAATCCTTATAATTAGTGTAAGAATACCAAATTCTTGCCACCTTTTAGAATATGTCAAATTCTAATATTTTATGCAATGATCCTCTTATGAAGTCACGGCACAAAAATCACAAAGACTCGGCCAACGAAATCACAAGGTACTCTATCAAAAATTGTTACAGAACAATTCTATAGATGTGATGTCTCTCACTCAAAGTACATTCCTTTGAACATCCTTTTGCATAAAATTTTCTAATCTAGACATAAATTCTTAATTTCCAACTCCCAAATATGGAAACATTTCCATATTTACCATATGACAACTCATTCTTAATAGAATCTTATCTATTCATAATAATATCGATATGGTCCATTCA